TCGTTATTCAAATCCGTGTGACGCAGCGCCGTGGGAGGCCAACGGGCTGGAAATGGGCCCGGGGGACCAGGAGCGCGAGCGGGTGCCTTCGGATGCCAATTTCCCGATCATTTCACGAGCTGTTTATTATTTTAGTGTCACGAATAATTTGGAATTTAATACGAATAGCGATCGCCGATGGTATCGTTAACGCGGAATTCTATATGCGAGGAGAAAAGGGATGTAGGGGAGAGATGTCGAATGCGCGCATCACTTAAGCTATTTTTTATTATATTTTCCACTTGATGCTGATTTGTATGCAAATGAACATTGGAAATTATAGCTTGATATTTCGGACACTTTTTATTATATACCTACATGTTTAACTTTTCATTAGTAACAAATTAATTTGTTTAAGTTTTTTTGTAACATGCTGCAAAAAGTATAACGATTTAGGCAATCGATCACCTAAATTCTAAAACGTACCTATATATCTTCTAAATCGTATCTCCTTTATGAAAAAGTATCGAATTTATAAATGAAACCAATTAAAAGTATAAGATTAAAAGAAATTATTAACTAATAATTAACTAATATCTAATTTTAATAATTTATGGAAAATCAAGTATTTATAATAATTATTAAATAACAATAATGAAAAGATAAGAATGTCGAAGTAAATCGATATCTTAAATTTATTTTTGCAATTGGCATTTATATTCATATTAATTATTAATTTTATTATTGTCAATTATCAGTTTTACGGTAGTATGATTTAGGCCATTTAGGGAAAACTAGATTTTAAAAGTATCGATTTAATCTTTATAATAGTTGTAAATATGTGTATATGCAATGAATGTAAAATACAATAAACCTTCATTTATGAAAATACAAAAATTTATAATAAAATTGCATCATTATATTATTATTATAGTCGTATAAATTGATCAAAAATTAATGTGAGGTAAATAAATGTTGCCAATAGCTGACATCCATAAAACAAGACGTAACCTATTAAATCTTTGTCTATATTACTCATATTTCTCATTTATTTCATATTTTCATTACTGAATGTTGTTTATATTAAATAATATTTTACATTTTTGTTACTGAATGTTGCTTATATTAAATAATATAAAATATTGATGAGGTACAAATGAGAGAGATTTACGCGATCAATACGCATTTGGCAACTCATCCCAACTTTAACAAATTAAAAAATGCTTCTGAAAAATATTACTGCGAAGTCTCTTAAAAATTATAGTTAATTACTCTCCAGTAGATCTTATATACGTGCCTTTATATTCTTGCCACTTCTTTTATCTTTAGATTAATTCACAGCCAATAATTTCGAGGTAATTTCCATACGTATTCAGCACGATTATGCTAAGATGTAACTATGAAACGGATTATATTCTTATTATATGCTAAACATATGCGCAATATGTCTCACCTAATTTTCAGGTCAGTGATTTACCTTCTCTGGTTAACTTTCGATACTTGTTTAGTAGGCTCAATTTTGTGATTTAGAGAGATATTTATATCTTACGACATATAAGTATATTAAAACCATCGAAAACTGATAAATTAGTTTTATATTTTATCAATAAGGCGCCAACGTATCTTATTTCACAAAAGATAAATCAGAATTAAAGCGTAATTGAAGTTTGCAACACGTCACGGCGACGATATGAACGATAATTCGTTCCTATGAGATTATTAAATCACCATTAAAAGATACGATCACGGTGACTTTATGTTGTGCAAAAACCAATAGTGTAAATTTAATTTGAAATTCGTTTATTCATATCGTTATTAGATGAGCATAACGTTAAACCAGCACTTTAAATTTTGTCCCGACGAAAATATCGTCGAAATTTGCACGTTTTTAAATATTTTTACTCTAAATTACTTAACGACCCGCAATTCGTATGATAAAACCATTACTTGTTGCTCACTAAACTTGCGAAATCGATGCTGTATTTCCTTTCACTGATTTAGCGTATTTGATAAATCGTGCACTTTGTATTCGGCTCGCGTCGAACTTCGAAATAAATGAAAATTACGGACGAGCTATTTTTAACAATAACAGGCCGTTTTGCCAGCTAATTAAAATTATCGTATGCAAAGAGCCGGTAACGCGTCGATTTCAGCAACATATCCTATGTCGTTTCTCTCTCTCTCTCTCTCTCTCTCTCGCTGGCGTATTGCAAATTTTTCTGTATGCAAACGAAGCCACTGTCAAATAATATGCTGGCCCAGCGCGTCCTCATTGAGATTCCACACAGCAATAATCGGCCGATATAGTCGACTATTTTATTCTGGCAATCGCATTGTAAGCGCAATAAAGTATGCAAAATTTATCGGCATGGTCGATGTCCTCTCCGTTTTCTCGCATATATACGCTATCCGACCATGGCATAAATTATTATTACATTTTACAAAATAACTAGGTCGTGGGATCAACTAACATTTTATTTATAATACGTAACGGACGACGTCTTATCGCGAAACTTGCGGGAATTGCATAATGACATGCGAGTCTGTAGACATGTAAATATTCTCGCATATAAATATTTATTCAAAGAAATTCGAATTAAACAGGAAGGCTGAGATGATAAAGAGAAAAGAATGGACAGGGTTGATATATTTAAAAAATATATAAAGAATTTGTTAATAATCTCTAATAACGCGTTATTAGAGATTATTAAATTCCGTTAGGTTTTTTTACACGCCCTACAGTAATTATTTTATGTAGATTATAATTTATGATGGCGCTACTTATTACTAGAGATGCACCGGATATCATTAGTATCCGGGAATATATCCGGTTGAAATTTTATATAATTAAATTATTGATTTGTTATTATATTGATTTGTTATTATAAAAATATTTTAGAAATGAGTCTGCATGTTCATAATGCCATATTAATATCGTATACATTGTTGCAAAATTACAATTTTTTTTCTACAGCCCTTCTGTTTTTTTTTTTCCAAGACAGTCCCGAAATACGGTCGGATATCCGGAAAATGTCGGATATCCGACTCGAAGAAATTGCCTTCTCGGATATCCAATGTTACATTTTGTCCGGATACCCGATATCCTGTATCTGGTAATTTTATGATCCAGTGCATCCCTACTTATTACAATGACAAATCGATTCAACTCAATAATTTCATTAATATTAACAGTAAGAAGCTGAAATTATAACACAATACTAATATAACATAAAGGCATGTAACAGAGTAGTTGCGGAAAAATTATCCCCACTTCTTCTATTTTTTCTGACTTCTTCGGCGTAAATCCCAGCGCGGCGTATTTGCCGGAGTTACCCTACACGGTTCTTTTTTGAAGAGATTTGAAAAGAGACACAGACGTCTCTTCTTACTCTCATTTGTTGTGATGCACTATTCAGCTCTTCGCTTGTCGTTGATATGAGTATGGCCTGATTCACGCCGAATCGCAATAAAGCACTCATGGATCGTCAAAAGGAAACGGAACGGTAACCAGACGGAGACAACGGTTGAATATAGTCATTACATGTATGACTCGCTGTACAAGAGTTCCTATAAGATTCTGAGAAATGGAACTTCCTATTTTTTCAGAGAGGCCATTTGACTTTCAGATGGCCATTTGAATTCAGAGAATTTTTTTAGAATTTTTTCAGAATTTTTTAATATTTTCTCATGTTGGTAAAAATAAGAAAATGCAGTACTAAAAAGTTGATAAAAAATTCTGAAAAAATTCTTAGAGCTCTATGAGAAGAAAATAAACAATTTTTGTCTCTTGCAGGTTTTCTGTAAAGTTGATAGTATTTGAGTAAAAAATTATTGAAGATTTTCGACAATATTTTCGACAATATTTAATAATTATTGTAATATCTTGTTAACTATTGCGAAAATTGTAAAATGGTAGAGGACTTTTCTTCTCAGTTTAGTCAATTCTATTCCTGTGCGAAAGATCGATCGTTACTTTTGGAACACACTATATATTCACTGATAATTTAAAAAGATATGATAGATTAAGGGCCGATTGTTCCATCTTCAGATAAACTATGTGGTAATTTACCTATTGGATAAATAAAAGAGTAAAAGAGTAAGAACATAAAAGAATAAAAGAATAAGTGAGCTGAAGTTTATCGAAAAGTGAAACGACCCAGTCTAAATGAAGAAATAGATATTGGATAAAAATTATGTATACAATTATACGATTGACACGAGAATCATTATATTGTAATATATACATTGATAACTTCACTGCAAATTAGATAGTGGTGTTCAACAGAATTCAGCGCTTATAGTATAAGCGCTTTGTGCCGATTGGATTATACTTTTTGATCTAGAAGAATAGTCCTACGTGTGTGAAGAAAACTTTCAACAGTTGTAAAAGTGACGCTTCAACATTCTGCTGAACACAGCTATTTGTACGAATTTTCCCTTTACTTTTTTCGTTAAATTGATCATCGTTCAGTTCAATGGGTCCGTCACTGTATGCTTCATTTCCTAAATCGAAAATCATGAAAGCGCAATTTTGTTGACCGACGATTGCACGCGATTCTAATAAGCACGTCACCTCCAGATGCTTGACAAATATTTTTTAAATGATCACCGGCGCTTACACCTGCTTTAAATTCATTTAAATTTGTCCATTATCAAGCGTACTTTATCGAATTGTTGTTATTGACATTTACAAATAAAATCAAACAGGCAATTTAAAAATTGTACAAAAACATTATGTAAACCCGTATAAATTAGTACACTGAGAAAAATGTATTAAATTTTAATGAATATTTATGTTTGAATAGTACTAATTAATATTTACTTCAATAAATATTTACTAAATATTTATTTAAAAAATAATAGTTAAATCAAATTAATGGTTCTTATATCAAAAATAAATATATGTTTACATTTAGTAAATATTTAACTTCAACATTTAGTGTTATTCAAACAAATATTTGTTAAAATTTAGTATGTTTACAAGGACTTTTTCTAATTTCCGCTTTTGGTTTTTTTTTCAGATACTATCATTAAACTCAGGGAAACTCTCTCAAACTACTTCTTGAATATGCCCGATATGAACTTCAAGATTCCCGAAGGAGCGAACACAACATCCACAGTCAAGGTAAATACTTAATAGACCCAATTTACAAATCAGTAATTCACACAGATCTATAATCAATCATTAGAATTATCACGGTTCTTTTTAAAATCCTGTTCGATTCGTGTGTTCTCGCGTCGAACCGAATTTCCGGAAACCGTTCGTCTAGTAGCGAATCAACCGTTCGCCAAGAGCAGAGTAAAATAATCCCCGACGACACGAGGAGAGGAAACTCCGCGTCGCGCCAGTCCGGGCCGGACGCGTCGCGGGGAGATAATGCATCGCCAGCAATTTACGTACACGTGTAAACTGCAACAACGAGATGACGACAGTGAAACATAGGAGGGCGGGAGGAAGAGAGGATCCCCTTAACAATAGCGCCAAGAGTACGGCAACGGGGGAGGGTGATCGGATTACCGCATTTCCCGTCGCGTATTGTTACACGCTCGGAATCTGCGCGCCGCCAGATCTCTCCGATATGTAAGTCGCTTAACGCGTAATGCGACTTGCACAAAGCACGACTAACGGAAGTGGATAACTGCCCGCCGAAAAGTTCGCCGCTTGATCCTGAATCCTACTCCTCGGAAACTGGCGCTGCGTCATCATTCGTAGGAGAAAAAAGAAAACAGAAGAAAAGAGTTTTTTCTGAGATAGGGAAGATGGGGTGCTGAAGTCATCTAAGAAAATATATTAATATCTTAACCCTAGAACATACACATAGGTCTCCCAGATCCAATCGAAATTTCGCTTGCTCTGTACACGAAGAAAAGGAAACGAAAAATTTTAATTTTATAACTCAACAATATAAAACTTTTTGGCATTACAATTTATGCAAGTATATTCCTAAATCTCAGAGCTTTAAAATGAAAAAAGAGAATCTAAAAATATCGATCCAAATTGAAGTTACAGCCTATTATAAAGTTACAGTGGGTCTTTCAGATTCATGTGTTTTCAGAATTTTTCAGAAGGTTTGTGTTCTAGAGTTAAATTGGGTTTTACTCTTTATTGAGAATCATTTAGTATAGGACCAGTTTTAAAGAAAACCGCTAAAACAATTACTAAATGTACTAAATTTTTATTTATCGATATAAGAAAATGAATAAGTACTTTTGATCGGTGTAGCCTACCTGGGTCGGGTCAGACTGTTCTGAAACAAAAAATTTCAGAAAATGAATAAAAATATAATTATATTTAATTTTTTTGTTATATGAAAGCTTTAAAAAATCATATTATAATACATTAATAACATTAAGTACGATATGCAATTAAGTATGCTAAAAATCTTATTACACAATGTCATCATTTCTTATATGAATTATCATTGAAAATTTTTATCGAATGATATTTTATATAAATTTTATATGAAGTAAAACATATTAGATAAAAAGTAGGTAATATACATTATTCTTTAGAATTCTTGTAATTAAGGTGATAGGTCCGACGTGTGATCTCGTTCTCCTACGAAGCTGAACGAGATCTCTTTTCCTTTTTATAAACTTTTTGCATTAACATATTATTATCTGCAATAATCGAGATATTTATAATCGCGAGTTCATCTCATCAAAAAGTATCGGGATTTGAATTAATCTCATTTATAAATAATACCTCTTGCGGTTTAAACGTCGAGAAATTATCGTTACAAATGCAAAAAAAATGTAAGAATGCATTAAGAGCGATGATATGTGAAATTGAAACGTGATTTAGCATTTTGTTATAAAAATGTAAAAATGTTGTAAGGAGAGATTTTTTCCTTATTACGTTTTCACACGTAGAAAGATATAGAAAATTTAATTACACATACAGCAATTCTAATAATTCATATTGAAGCATGTATCTCTTTGTTGGCGGAGTAAACTGCATTGTATCACACCGTCATGCACTAAACGCAGTTAAATCCACGCAGCGTTGCAAATTCTTCAATAATGGAGCTTAATTAATTTTGACGATGCGTTTGTCAGTTGTAGAACTGCAAATTGTTCGATAAACCCGTTTGTCCCTGTCTGAACCAGCTCTCGTTCCTCTTGGGACACGTGTAATGTATATACATATTACGCTATCTTTCCGAAGAACTTCATTATAACGAATCGGATTACATTTGGAGATTGAGGAAAAATTCGCAAATTGTTCAATTTTTAATACTAGGATTTCTTCTTTTAAACTAAATTTACACTCGACTTTGTATCTCGATAAGAAATACCGAAGACGCAGTCTTGTATCTCGGATTATAACATGGTTGCCACAAAACTGGAAATTAGGGAAATCAAGGAATCGTCAGCGAAATTGAAAACGGGAAAAGTCAGAGAATTTTGCAAAACTTTCTGGAAAATTACAATTCTTGACTTTAAAAAAGTTTAATACATGTACATTACACTTACGAAGTTTTGGAATACTGCCAACTTAACAATTAAAAATGCAAGCGGTGTCAATAACAGTAATTGCACTGTAAAAAATAAAATGTTAATTTTAACTTACAGACCTATTGGACCCTAGTGGACTTTCTGAGACATGTAAAAATGTTAAAATTAACACAAAAGTGCCGAAAGTTCACTATAGTTTTTAAATTAAAAATAAATATTTTAATTTTTTACATTGCAATAATAATTTATATATGTTAGATCTCTCATCAAAATATTTAACAAAAATATTTAATATTGTGAGGTTTTCAAATCTCACAACAAAAATATAAAAAATATTTTAATATTGTTGAAAGTCAGGAAAAATCATGAAATTTTGTCTAGAAATCGGGGAAAAATTATAGAATTTTAAGATGGTATTTGTAACAATCCTGATACGGCTAATCTCTGATTCTCACAAATGGTCTGATTGCAGATCATTAACGGTCATGTGGTGACGATCAACGAGACAACATATACGAGCGGCGATGATATCAGTGGCACCATGTTCCGTATTCGAACAGTTGACGTGAAGCCACAAAACGGGACCGAACTGATCGGGGGAGGCAACACGGAGCAACCGTCGGTGAGGCCGGAGCCGGAGAGCCGCGAGACGGTCGAGGAGTTCAACAACGAGATATCGAAAAACACAGAAACGCTGACCGCTTAAAAGGTGATCAGTCCGCTCACGAGACACGCCGACGATCAGCGATGTCCGAGTGAATTTCAGGGAGACGAAGGAGTGACCTTTATTTCGTGGCTATAGTAGAGTAACTTTGATGCCACACCGTGGTGCATCGTATTAAAATATAAAGCATTACTGTAAAATATATATATATACATTATACATGTAATACATACATATATGAAGTTATGTTTCTGTTGTTTCCTATCGCTTCTCGATACGGTAGTATATATATATATATATATATATGACGTTTACCTGCGTCTTTTCAAGAAAACAGATCGCCGTCGCTGAAAAGAATAAGTTAGTATATTTATAAATACGTAGATAATGCAAGTTGAGAATAGAGGGGGCTACTAATTGGTTTCAATTAATTGCGAGAATTTATTTAAAGTTAATTAATCGATTAAAAGCTTTCGAATCAAATTAAAACTCTCGGTTAAACGTGGAATTAAAATAGATGAGATTTAAAGCTCAATGTGCGTTTACGTTTTTCAACTGAACATTTTATACTCTGAATAGTCTGAACAATTGAACTTTATACATATTATGAAATACGCTTAAAAGACACGTATGCATCAGCGATTGATATGGAAATATAATGTTGTATAATCTGTCGTATTTTTCAAAAATTAATTATTTGGACCCCTTCTAATTTATATTTTGTACATGTTTATGTATCTTACATTTCAAAAAGGCGTTAAAGATTTTTGTATATTTTATAAATTAGTAAAAATGAAACTGGTGTGCGATAACTAATGAGTGATATTTAGTAATCCTATATATAATACCGGTGTATCTCATTCTATCTTATATGAATATCGAGCAAAAAAGGTGAAAGCACCGGAGCCACATGCTTCGTCACATATCATGTCGGTTTACTGGCTGATATATTTATATATATATGTATACATATACATATATGCAAGGCCATTTTGTAATAACTAATTACACCATCGTCCGCCGAGTGGAAAATTTACTCCAGTCCAGTTGATCCAACGTTGATCACGTTTTGTATGCCCAAATACGAATATGAAGTAAATTACTAATAATGTATCACATTAACATATTTTATATATATATATATATTTATAGAACGACACTTTTATCCTATAAAAGATTACACAAGAGAAGTTGATATTTAATAAATCTATAATTTCCTGTACATGTATCCAGCTATTCCAGCTTTTCTAGTTTCCTTGACAATGGCTACGTTCGAGCAGCAAAAGCAGCTTTGCAATTTTTGTAAAATTCTTGAATATGATTGGTTTATACATTTAGATCCAATGAGGAACTAAGGACAAGACCAATTATATTAAAGAATTTTACAACAGTTGCAAAACTGCTTTTTTCTGTTGAACGTAGCCATTGGTTTTCAATGTTGAAAAACGTCAATTTTTCAAGGTACATACAATTATATCCACGCAGGTAAATATTAATAAACTATTTTTACGAAGAAAAAGTTTGAAATGTCTACCGTTGCGATTTTTTATGTTATAGAAAAAAAAATGTTCGTTCCTGTAGTGCTACCTTCATATATTTCCATACACATACATACATTAGTAATACAGATGTATTTCTTACAGATTGTAAGTCGTACTGTAATACATATAGACCTCCGTTACACGGTACGCTTAATCGGGTTTAATAACATCCGTAGTTATGAAATTGGCCAATTATAGCTGTTCCTCGGAAGAATAGAACGATTGTGATTGGCCAGTTTCATAACTACGGATGTTATTAAACCCGATTAAGGGTGCCGTGTAAATGTAGTCATAGACATACAGATGTATTTCTTACGGATTGTAAGTCGTGCTATAAGTTGATCAGAAAAAAGTTGATACAATAAAATAGTAGTAAATTATATTCCGACAATACAACTATATGTAATGTTAGTTCACATAAGTTTACGATTTAATTATTTCATCCTAATAATTTTAATATCTGATAAGGGCTGCGGTCTACTTGACGCTACAAACGCTTCGAAGCATTCTTTGATTAGTTAATTCGTAAAATTCTTTGTTTTGATTGGTCGCTCAAACGCTTCGAAGCGTTTATAGCGTCGAGTGAACCGCAGCCTTGGTCTCAAGATAACATATAAAATCCAAATTTATAAATTTAAGTTCAGCCTAAATATATTAAATGTTTCAATAATACAATTCATAAATGCTACCGTACAAATAAATTTTTCCAAGTTTTCTCTCTTCATCAAGAGAAACAGATGAAAATCAAAGATCTATACGGTTAATTTTTTAAACCAAATGCCCACGCGTGATAATGGACGCGTTCAAGTTGACAAAACGGCTAGCCTGCTCGCCGAGCGAAGAACATGATTGGTTGGTACTTGTAGATCCAACCAATCATATTCAATCGCTCGGCGAGCAGGCTAGCAGCTTTCTTTGGTTTAAACACCAATGTTATTATCGTAACAGTTTGAGGAAAATGTTTTTTGCTACTATATTATATAATATGTACGTTCATTTTTCGAATAATGTAATACAAATTTCTTGTTTTTTTTTAATGAGTAAATAGCGATCATATAACAGAAGAAAAAAATATTGACTTTTCTATCATAGCACTTTATGCTTATAATACTAGTAATAACTTTCGAGAATTTCATGTATTTCATCTTTTTACTTTCAAATCACGCAATGATTACTATTTGATTTTTTAAATCTAATTTTTATCCCAAAGCTGAAATTGTAATTTCATATAATTAAATTTTAAATAATTTTCCCTTGATGTTATTTTTTCTTTTTCTTATAAATATTAACAGAACTTGCGGGATTTTTATCGTCAGATACAAAACGTATGGAATCATAAAATAGGACAGAATCAATTCTAACTGACATCAAAACATCAAAAATTTTTTAAATAAATTGTATTTTTTGTTGTATACGACTAAATTAGCTTCTAATATAATAAAAACTGAATTTTATCTTAAACATACTTATAAGAACTATTTACTATAGTAGCGAAAGTTTGATCCTATAATTATTTCAAGTATAATATTTCCAGATTTAAAGAAAATGATATTTGTAGTATATATTTTTATTAAAAGCTAATTTAATTATATACGATAAAAGATGAAACAATTCTTTTTTTTTCGACTTTTGACCGGCTAAAATCGATTCTGGTCTGCTGGGCCACTGTGATAAACTCCTCCGTTTAAAAGTCGCGCGTTCCGTGTACTTCCGTCCGTAGGAAAAATGGCGAGCCGTCGCATACACCATGCGGCTTTAAGGGTGGTATTCATAGTCGATTTTTAAGCGGGGAGCACAGACTCTTGCATAACGCATAACACGTAATGCATAAGAAAATGAACCAATCAAAATCTTTCGTTTCCTTCCTTTCCATGAAATAAAGAACTCTGATTGGATGAATTTCTTATACCTTATGCGTTATGCAAGAGTCGGTGCTCCCCGCTTTATATTCAAGACCGTCTTAATTACAGTCTTAAGAAGTCATGAACCAATCAGAGGCCGGTATTCACAATCAGATCTTATATTTAAGACCGTCTTAAGTTCAGCCTTGAGGTGTCATGAACCAATCAAAGGGCCGCATTAGCCTCTTAAGATATTACTTAAGACGGTCTTGAAATAAGAACCGACTATGAATATAAGACCATAGCACACATATTTCGTAAGTCTGAATCTACAATAGGTGTTTTAAGACTTAAGCCGTAAGAAATTGACCAATTACAGTCGAATCCGAGGGGAATAATCGACTGTGATTCGCCCATTTTTTATGGCTTAAGGCTTAAAATCCTATTGTAGATCCGGGGTAACAGTAATCATAAGACGTACCGTAAGAATCAGCCAATTAGAATTAAGTACGGAATCTATAGACGTTGCTCAAGACTCAAGATAGTCTTAAGCTAGCGCTTGAACCAATCAGAAAGCCGTATTAGCACCTAAGACATTGCTTGAAATTAAGACCGGACTATGGATTCCGGCCTAAGGGTGAAATCACACGGTGCGGAAAAAGACTGCGGAATAGAGAATGCGTCATTGAAGCAACCAATCAGCGCTATTCAGCGCTATTCGGAATAGCGCTGATTGGTTGCTTCAATGACGCATTCTCTATTCCGCAGTCTTTTTCCGCACCGTGTGATTTCACCCTAAGAGTTCAAAAGAATTCTCTACTGTGATTGGCTGATTCTTACGGTACGTTTTATAAATACTGTTATGGCCCATCTACAATACACGTAGTAAGTTTGGTTTAAGAAGTAAGAGTAAGAAATTGACCAATCACAGTCGAATGTGAGAAGAATAATCGATTGTAATTAGTCAATTTCTTACTCTTCTTAAACCAAGCTTACTTCGCATATTGTTGACAACGCCTTATGCGGGTCGTAGCGGTCGTAGGGTCTTAAGTCATAGAAAATTGACCAATCACAGTTGATTATTCTTCTCATATTCGACTGTGATTGGTCAATTTTCTACGACTTAAGACCCTACGACTGTTACGACTTCTATTGTAGACCCCGCATTACGGAAGGTGTGTGCCATGGCCTTTAGATTTGCCGCACGTGACAGTTCACAGTACTTCTTCTATGACCCAATTGTAGGGCGCGCGTATTCGCACATATACGCACGTCTGCAATCCGCATGTGTATGTGAACACTTGACTGAACAGACTTGTCAGCGGAGACTGTCATGTGTGGATGTCATGCGGACGTGTCCGCTGCCGTCGTCGCCGCCGTTGCCGCCACCGCTGCGATCTGTTGACGTTATCGGACTTGGTGGTAGTCGAAGCCCTCGGGACACGCGCGCACGTGGAGAAAGCTGAGAGGATGCTGCGATGTCAGCACGCAGACGTCATGTTGTAGGACCCGTAGTGAATCGCGACCTTGCGAGCTCGGGTGGCTCGCGGCACTATTACGATGGAGACGAAGCGAGCAGCAGATTGTTGAGCGAGGAGACTGTCGACTTGGACCCAAGTGAGCAACAGTCGACAACGACGACGACGACGATGACATCCCGCGACAGGACCAATGAGTTCGCCAACGCGATACGCTCCATGCAGAGCAGGACCGTGGCGCGGACCGCAGCGAACCTGCAAAATCCGCGCCGCGCACGCCAGATACAGAGCTACTCGAACTTTATGATGATAGCTAAGAACATTAGCAGGAACATTGCTGGCACATACATCAAGCTGGAGAAGCTTGCCCTGTGTAAGAACTCAGCTGAGCATAGCTTAGACGATTACAATATGTTGCATCCAAGTAGGACATTGCAAACAATAAAACTTACCTTTGTTGTGCAAAGGAGATTTTTTTTTGGTCCTTATGCATAGATTTGTATGAAAGTTAATACATGTCCTTAAAGATTTGTATGAAAGTTATACATGTCCTTAAACTGTCGAAAGATCACAGAATAGTTTTTGTTTGAAACTAAGATTATCATTGACAGTTATCGTCAACTTTTATTACTACTTTATAAGATTATATAATATATAACAGAATAAAAATAGTTGAAACATACTGAAATGATAGCAAAGCTACTAAATAAGAACATTTTTAAATGTTCTATAATAACTAATATTGTATGTTACAGTGGCTAAGAAAAAATCCATATTTAACGACAGACAAATTGAGATTGAAGAGCTTACAAATATTATAAAAACGGATCTAAAAAGCTTAAATCTTCAAATCGGGAAGTTACAAGAACTTGGAAAGTCGCAGAGAGAAAGCTTTGGTTCTTCTCAGAGTCATCACATTGCTTCTCATTCTTCCTCAATTGTGATGACATTACAATCAAAGCTAGCTAATATGTCTAATCATTTCAAAAGTGTTTTGGAAGTTCGTTCTGAGGTATGTAACTCAAAATAAACAACATTTTTTCTTATATCAAAGTTGGTTATCGTCGTAGAATATTTCAGTATAGCATCAATTAATTTCTATATTTTGGTCAAAATAGCATGTAATATATATTCTATAATATATGATAAATTATATATTTTCTTTAATATCTTTTTTTAGCAATATTATGAATAACAATAAATTTGATATTAACAAAAAGAATACAGGATTATAAATATTATTGGAAATTAAGAAATAATAATTAAATAATAATTTTAAAACACTAAGAAATAAATTATTTGATGCAGAATATGAGAGAGGAACAAAGCAGGAGACAGCAGTTCACTCAAGGATCTTTGTCCACTATGCTCCCTCCGAGTGTTGTTTCTGGGAAACAAGGTTCTTTGTTACTACAAGAAGAAATTTCTAGTAGTTCAGTTGCGATAGATCTTGAACCTGTGATGAATCAGCAGTTACAACAAATTATACAAGATGATACTGTAAGTAATAGCGGCAATAGTGTGAAGTAATTAAATATAATGGGAATACATGTATGTCTACTTCTCCAAGGATGCATATATGCAATCGAGAGCCGAAACTATGCAAAATATAGAGTCTACTATAGTTGAGTTAGGGGGTATTTTCCAACAATTAGCACATATGGTTAAGGAACAAGAAGAAATGGTTGAAAGGTAAGAGGAAATGATGTAATGAATCTGAAAGAAATAAAAGCAGTTGTCTTGAAAACAGAAAAGCATTTTAATTTGTCAAAATATTTCGCAAGTGTAAATCGTTAATCTTTAAAAAATTGATTTTCAGGATAGATAGTAATATAGAAGATACCGAGCTAAACGTGGAAGCTGCACATACCGAAATACTGAGATACTTTCAGTCTGTGACAAGTAATAGGTGGCTAATGATAAAGATATTTGCAGTCCTGATATTTTTCTTTATATTTTTTGTAGTATTCTTATCATAACACTATCGATAATTGTATTTATAATATCATTATACTTTTATCATTCATATCCACTATTTGTGATATAAGAAACAGAGAGAAAATGGTTTTTACAAAGTTGCGACATACATACAGGCTATAAAGAATGATATTGCGTGCATTCCTCGCCCTTTCACTGAATTGTGAATATTGTAAGTACATTTAAATACTATT